GTGGTGGTGGTAGTGGTGGTGGTAGTGGTGGTGGTAGTGGTGGTGGTAGTGGTGGTGGTAGTGGTGGTGGTGGTAGTGGTGGTGGTAGTAGTTGTAGTGGTGGTAGTGGTTGTGGTAGTAGTGGTAGTTGGAGTCGTAGTAGTAGTTGTAGTAGTAGTAGTAGTTGTAGTAGTAGTAGTAGTAGTAGTAGTCGTAGTCGTAGTCGTAGTCGCAGTAATAGTAGTAGTAGCAACAGGTCTCAGAAATTCAGATACAACAAAAGAAGAAGAAAAGTTTGTTAAAAATAAGCATTCCCAAATTATACCAACAAAAAAATTACATTTGAAGGATAAGAAAGAAAAAATGGAGGAAAGTTAAACATTATGCGAAAAAAATAATGTTCCAAATTGTAAAAAAAGGAAGTGACAATTCGGCAAGGAAATAAATCAATTATGAATTTTTTAATTTTTTTTAATTGGCCAGTGCGACAAAGTGCAAGGTCCTTTTTTTAAGACTGACATTGATGAATAAATGGTAGTGATACTAGTAACGATACTTTCCAATGATAATGGCAGTGATACTTGCAATAATACTGCTAAAGATACTTTCCAATGATAATGGCGGTGACACTTCCAATGATACTGGCAATGATACTTCCAATGATACTACCAATGATACTTCTAACGATACTTCCAATGATACTTCCTATGATACTTCCAATGATATTTCAAATGATACTGCTAACGATACTTCCAATGATACTTCCTATGATACTTCCAATGATATTTCAAATGATACTGCTAACGATACTTCCAATGATCCAGCCAATTCACCCTTGACAACAGCTAAGTACCCTATATTTAGAAGCGTTAAAAACAAATTGAAAATGTCACTTTTTTTTCTTTTTTACTATTTTTTTTTTTTAACTCATTTTTTTTTTTTTTTACTTCTTTTTTTTAATGTTTTTCAACTCTAAATGTTTCTACGTTTGCTACACCACTTAGGCAAACACAGAAAATCCGTTCAAACTATAAATGTAAGTTTTGCTTATTTGCACTTCACTCACATAGACAGATTTTTTTTAAACCATGGATAAATTAATGTTTACTCCCCAATACTGACCACAGACCAATAGAAACAAAAATCACTACATGAAAGGGGGACAAAATGGACCTGTGTACAGACAAGCTTTACTGAAGAAAAAAAGATAAATAAAATGAATATTAAAACAGACACATACACATGCATTCAAAAGGGAAAAATAGAAATACTACAAACGCCAAATTTTAAATTCTTTCAATATAAAATTTTGAATATTATGATGAGATGATTTCTGAGAGAGAATGTGTGTGAGGCAGCGCGGTGAATCAAGGGCTCGTCAAAATGTGAGGCAGCGTGGTGAATCAAGGGCTTGTCGAAATAATAAAATCAAAAGAAAAAAAAGGCACTTTTCTGCCAGTTTGGAAGTTTTTTTTTCGAATTTTTGTTTTTTGGCTCTATACCTTTTATGTCCATATAAAAACACATTTCCATGTGAACTTTACTGATAAACATTATTAACGGCACAAAACGTGTAAATTTCCAGTTTTCAAGGATTCTCAAGCCGTTGAAATAACCAAACTTTGGCGGCTATTTTCTCGCGTATTTTACCTCTGAAACCAGACGACCCCCACCTCCTTCAATAGCAGATATCTCAACTTCTACTAAAGATACATGGATCATTTTTTTTCACCAAAAGCAAGGCAAGCAAATAGGATTTAAGAAAATACCAAAAACTCTAGATGCGCAAAAATTTGACGAGCGCCTGATTCCATCACGTCGCGACACAATTGTCGATATGCACGTGTTTCTGTTTATCTGTGTGCAGGTGTGCGTCTGTGTAAGCATACGCAAGTGTGTGCGCACATGCCAAAACGAAGTAACAGATCGGACGTAAAAGAAAATGCGGAGAAGGGAGAAGGGCGTATGTACACACCAGAATGGTCTCCTTGTCCTTGTCCTGAATCATGGCCGCCTTGCTGTTCCAGTAGACGGACAGAGAGTCCAGTCTTATGAGCTGAGGAGGGGGGG